CGCCATCTCTCTCTCTGAGTCGTCCTCTCCCCCGCCCCCCAAGTCGACCCCTCTATCTCCCTCTATATATCTCACTCTCTATCTCTTCAATTACCTGGGCGTTTACCTGGGGAAACCACGTGACGTCGCTCTGAACAACTGGACCGAGCTGGCCGACACAATCGAGGCTAAATTACTGACATGGGCACACCTCGCTCCGCAGATGTCCTGCAGGGGCCGAGTGCTCATCACTAACACCCTGGCAGCATCCGTGCTGTGGCACAAGACCAAGGCCCTCGAGCCTCCTGCTTAGCTACTCACAAGAGTCAACCGCTCACTCGCGCACTTCGTCTGGCATGGGAAACACCGGCTCAGGCCGGGCGATCTCTGCCTTGCGGTTTGCGAGGGCGGCCAGAGTCTGGTAGACGTCGCCGCCAGGGTCACGAGTTTCAGGTTCATGGCAGTCAGGCGGCTGCTGTACGACCGGGAGGTGCTACCCTGGAAGTCGCCGGCCCTCGCCCTACTGAGGAATGCAGGGGGGTGCCTGGGGTTCGGAAAGGAGCTCTTCCTGACGGACCTGAGCCTGGTCGACTACACGAGGCTGCCAGGTTATCACCGGAGCCTCTTGGACGCGTGGCGGAGCTTCGAGTGGAGCAGAACGCACACGGCGCCCTACGACCTTACGAAGCTCCTGAACAAGCCCCTTGTTCTGCAACGGCCTCTTCCAGGGGATCAGAGGAGAGAGGACCCTGGCTCTACGCCTCACATCAGCAGGGCTGCGGACGGTCTTCGAACTCGTGCAGGCCCCACCAGCCCGAGTGGAAGATCGCAGCTGAGATCGCCAGCACCGCTAGGGGACTCCGCTCCACGCTCGCCGGGGAGAATCTGCTGCGGGACGTCGCTCCGCGCCATGAAGGAACTGCGCCTGAAGCTGGAGGCGCCGGGGGACGGTGGTGGCCCTCCCCCCCCCTCCTCCTCCTTCCCGGAGTTGTACGTCTCCTGCGCACACCCCCCTGACCACAGCGACTCCGGCAAGCTACTGATGCTCCGAGGCTGCAGGAACGTCCCCCTGAAGAGCGTCCCGAACAAAGCGCTCGACACGTGGCTGTGTCAAGGCGCTGCATTCCTGGGACCTGGCCGACCTACCGGACACAAAATGGAGAGACCATTTCTCCCCCCCCCTCATTGCGACCGCCCCCCAGTGGAAACAAATGTACAAAGTGCCTCCCGTAGCCAAACGCTGCGGTGACCTCCAGTGGACATTGGCACACTGCACATTGCCATCGGCCGTGTGGCTCAGCCGAATCTCGCCGGGGGTAACAGACTTGGTGCATTACCTGCGGTCATAGGGATGATCTGCCCCACCTGTACTTATGCTGCCAGCGGCTCAAACCAATGTCCCACGTTTTGGGGGACATCTTCGGGAAACTGGGGGTGCCCTTCTACAACAGCAGCTTCATATATTGAATTCCTTACCTGGCTAACGAGCGCCATGACCTCGCCATCTTCGCCTGTGTTCAGGCGAAGATGGCGGTGTAGAGAATGAGGAAAAAGATGCTGGAAGATGACACTGACGGCTGCTCTGTGCTTCCAGTGTTCAGGGGCCTGCTCAAGGCGCGGCTCCGGCTGGAGCACGCATACCACACACATGTCGGTGATGTGCTCGTCTTCTTCGAACGCTTGGGAGCCGGAAAAGCCCCTCTCTGTACCAGCGTGAACGGCACCCCACGTGTTCATCTTCTGAAGCGCTCGCTCGTCACCGTGACGTGTGCGATGACCACCACCACCACGTGCCTTTCATTTCGTGTTGTGCGCGGCGCATTTAGCGGCACAGCGCGTGGATTTATAGCGATTATTTGTTTGCTGGTGACTTTGTGTATTTCGTATCGGAATCGCCTCCGGTGCTGTTGCTGCTGGCGGCAATAAAAGTTGTTTAAAAGTCTCTCTCTATCTCTCTCTGCGGCAATAATAGTTGTTTTAAAGTGAAAAGTCTATCTCACTATCTCTCTCTATCTCTCTCTATATATCTCTCTCCATCTCTCTCTCTCTCTCTCCATCTCCCGACGAGAGCCATCGACTTCTGTGCGATGGCATTGCAGCGTTTCAAGCTGACGTTGTTATGATCCAATTCATGACAGAATTAGAATATTGTATTTATACTGGCGGAGGAATCAGATGAGCTATCAAGCTCTTTGTTAACAGATGTCCAGTCAGGTCAAAAAACTACAACAACAAACACAACACTAAACATACGGCAGGAGGGCAGATTGTAGGAAATTGTGAGCAAATCACTAAACAAAAATTGTATGATTTTATTTTTAGCAGGCAAAGCCCCACTGACCGATGAGGTTATCATTTCTGAAGCCACCCTGGCTACCACAAATGATAACAGCGGCATCAGCAGCTGCATGGGGTTAGGGAGCCAGAGTGCTTACAGCGTGTGACTTACCAGTTCTGCAAGGCGAAGGATTTCGCGAGCAATATTATCCATAATACAGATTAACTTTATATGGGGGTGGTTAGATCTCGTATGTACAGTGAGGGAAAAAAGTATTTGATCCCCTGCTGATTTTGTACGTTTGCCCACTGACAAAGAAATGATCAGTCTATAATTTTAATGGTAGGTTTATTTCAACAGTGAGAGACAGAATAACAATTTAAAAAATACAGAAAAACGCATGTCAAAAATGTTATAAATTTATTTGCATTTTAATGAGAGAAATACGTATTTGACCCCCTCTCAATCAGAAAGATTTCTGGCTCCCAGGTGTCTTTTATACAGGTAACGAGCTGAGATTAGGAGCACACTCTTAAAGGGAGTGCTCTTAATCTCAGCTTGTTACATGTATAAAAGGCACCTATCCACAGAAGCAATCAATCAATCAGATTCCAAACTCTCCACCAGGGCCAAGACCAAAGAGCTCTCCAAGGATGTCAGGGACAAGATTGTAGACCTACACAAGGCTGGAATGGGCTACAAGACCATTGCCAAGCAGCTTGGTGAGAAGGTGACAACAGTTGGTGCGATTATTCGCAAATGGAAGAAACACAAAAGAACTGTCAATCTCCCTCGGCCTGGGGCTCCATGCAAGATCTCACCTCGTGGAGTGGCAATGATCATGAGAACGGTGAGGAATCAGCCCAGAACTACACGGGAGTATCTTGTCAATGCTCTCAAGGCAGCTAGGACCATAGTCACCAAGAAAACAATTGGTAACACACTACGCCGTGAAGGACTGAAATCCTGCAGCGCCCGGAAGGTCCCCCTGCTCAAGAAAGCACATATACATGCCCGTCTGAAATTTGCCAATAAACATCTGAATGATTGAGAGGACAACTGGATGAAAGTGTTGTGGTCAGATGAGACCAAAATGGAGCTCTTTGGCATCAACTCAACTCGCCGTGTAAGAATGCTGCCTATGACCTCAAGAACACCATCCCCACCGTCAAACATGGAGGTGGAAACATTATGCTTTGGGGGTGTTTTTCTGCTAAAGGGATAGGACAACTTCACCGCATCAAAGGGACGATGGACGGGGCCGTGTGCCGTCAAATCTTGGGTGAGAACCTCCTTCCCTCAGCCAGGGCATTGAAAATGGGTCGTGGATGGGTATTCCAGCATGACAATGATCCAAAACACACGGCCAATGCAACAAAGGAGTGGCTCAAGAAGAAGCACATTAAGGTCCTGGAGTGACCTAGCCAGTCTCCAGACCTTAATCCCATAGAAAACCTGTGGAGGGAGCTGAAGGTTCGAGTTGCCAAACGTCAGCTTCGAAACCTTAATGACTTGAAGAAGTTCTGCAAAGAGGCGTGGGATAAAATCCCTCCTGAGATGTGTGCAAACCTGGTGGCCAAATACAAGAAACGTCTGACCTTTGTGATTGCCAACAAGGGTTTTGCCACCAAGTACTAAGTCATGTTTTGCAGAGGGGTCAAATACTTATTTCCCTCATTAAAATGCAAATCAGTTTATAGCATTTTTGACATGCGTTTTTCTGGATTTTATTATTGTTATTCTGTCTCTCACTGTTCAAATAAACCTACCATTAAAATTATAGACTGATCATTTCTTTGTCAGTGGGCAAACGTACAAAATCAGCAGGGGATCAAATACTTTTTCCCTCAGTGTACATTCAGGTTAAGTTTTAAGTTTAATTTATTTGGTATAGCCCTGTGAGCCATTCGTCTCTTGAATCGGGTGCAACCGCAACAAATAAAAAAACATGAACAAGAAAACATCTTAAAGTGACTATGCGCAAACAGAAAAATCCAGGAAAAAACAGCAAAAATCTTCCAGAAAAGGCACAGTACACCAACGCTATAGATGTGTGTCGTTAATCCCGTTAAAATGTGGGTTTGACTCTCCAACACACAACAACCGGTCGGTGCTGTACTCAGTAACGAATTGACCACGTTTTGTTGACGTGAAACGCCACCTTTTTACTGATTGGCTACGTCGGGTGGTGGCGGATTTAACGACACAACATTTACGCGTTCTAACCACCCGAAAAAAAAGAACTACCTCTATTAGATGTCACTTACCGTTTGGGTGATACAGAGTATGACTGACGGACAGACAATTGTGAGTTATCTATCTATACACACACCGCCTGTTTATATAGAGACACATAGAGAGAGAGAGAGACTGCTTATTGACTCGAGTCTAAAAGTTCACGCGGGGTCCCTTAGAGCAGCCGTGATGGACGCGTGCCAAACTGATGCGACTAATTATCTCGGCACGCCAGAGGAAGCCGCGACAGCCCAGACCCCCATTGTGGGGTGTCCACGGGACCCCCACCACGTGACCCGCACCACGGGACCCCTACCACGGGGGTCACGACGCTGGTGATTAACCCCAGCGTGAAATGCGAGCACTGGTCGTGTTGTTTGCTTTGGATTCGTCTGACAAGTGGTGGTGGTGGTGGTGAGGGAGCAGTGGTGCAAGCCGTCAGCGCTACGCCGCTCCGCAAACCCGGCGACCCGAGTTCGATTCCTGCTCACGGCCACCAACACCCAGTGACCATTATTTGAACCTCCCCTAGGTCGACTCAGCCTGGTGCGGTGCGTAAAAGCATCGCCACTGGGGAGACAAAGGCGGCCGGGCGTGGTGCTTGACCACCCACCCCCTCGTGTGCCGTGCCGGCCTTATAGGTGCTGCTCGTGTGGGGGCTAATGGCCCCCTCCTCCTCTCCCCCCTCCTCCCCCGCCCCATCTCGCCGGGCTGCCATCGGCCTCCCCGCACCAGCGTCCTCTCTGTGGGACATGGCTAGTGGCTGGCTCCCCACCGCCTCGGGTTATCCAAACACACTCCCCACGCACACCACTACTAATGCCGAGGTGGCTGCTTGCCCGCGTGCCCGTGCAGGCACGCGTGCAACAACGACGGCCGGGTTGACGATAATATTCGCGCTTTCCACCGCCGAGTGCTATGGTCGCTACGTGAACACATTGCGTGAAACGCGCCATGTAAACACAAACACGAACGTCAGCGATCGTTTATGATTGAATACACGCGCGCTTCACACGTACGCGCGTACTCACACCACACCTACGCTCTCCCCACACACACAGAAAGCACGCGGCGTCGGTGGTCTATGCAAAAGTTTATTAATGGGGCGCCTAAAGAAAAACCCTGCTTGGCCCGGAGCAAAATTCAAACCCGAGGAGGACCCTTACGCTACTTCTCACCCTGCGGACGTACTCACGGTGTCTCACGGACGCGTTGGGAGTCGGAGGTACGAGGGTCCGAGCGGTCTCTGCCTGGGGTCGAGTCGTAGCAGTACTCGCCCGCGTCGCTCGGACGTTGCGAGCGGCTGGGAGTCCGACCGGGTAGCTGAACGGCTCGAGGAGAACTGACTAACATTTTTTCCCTTCCCTTCCCTTTGTCTCCTCCGAATCAAAAAATCGAGGGTCACGTGGTGTTCCCTGAATTGGGAATCGGGCGCCTAGCTTTCAATTTTCAACCGATGCCCCGCCCCTACAGTATCTGGCGTGTGGCTCTCACTTGCGCTCGCTGAGAGCCTTGCTCCCCCAAGGCCCTATGCCCCTGTGCTGGGCGTCTTCTCACTGCAGTTTGCTCCGTGAGCTCGTCGTGCCCATACAAATTTAAGCTAATTCACGGGGCCGAAGTTCAATTCGGCCTGGGGGGGGGGGAGGGGGGGGTCGGCCAATCTCCTGGCACTGGGAAACCGTGGGACATCCCCGCTAGGTGCCCCTCGGGTAAAAACTCAGGGTACCAGGTGACCCCCCCACGAACCCAATGTGGGTGAATGTGTGTGTGTAGAGGGTGCTGCTGAGACTGGAGCGTGCCACTAATAGGTGGGGCCTTACTATCAGCCCCACCAAAACTAAGCACCTGCCTGGGTATTTTGTACCATCGGACACTCCACCCCCACAACTCCCAATCGGTGATGGGGCAGTTGTGGAGAGAGTGGAGAGTTTCCCATACCTGGGCAGTGTGCTTATGACTGGCTCCAGTTTAACAGCAGAGATCTCACTCCGAATCAGTCGAGCGGCAATATCTTTTCATCGGTTGCGTAACGCTGTGTGGAAGCTACCTGGTCTGTCGCTCTGCACTAAGCTTCAGGTCTTCTCGGCCACGGTCATTCCCTCCCTTCTCTACGCTTGCAAAACGTGGACCCCCCTAATGGAACATCTTTGCCGGTTAGAAAAATTTAGGCTGGCCTGCCTACGATCCATCCTGGGTTTAACCAGACTGGATTGTGTGAGGAGCTCACAAATCCTTGAAAGATCTGGGCAAGGTCCCATCGGTGAGCTCCTCCGGCAGGCAAGGCTGCGTTGCCTGGGTCAGGTAGCCCGCATGCCCAGCCACCGCATGCCGAAACAGCTTTTGTTCGGCCGGATTGAGGGGGCTAAGCGGGCGCGGCACGGGCTAGAGAAGAGATGGAGTGATGTGGTACAGGAAGACGTGGAGCTGAGTGGACTTGCCGATGACTGGTACCAGCGGTGTCAAGATCGGCCTCTGTGGAGGAGGCTCGTGAAGGATGCTACTGGGCAGTTGAAGGTAGTCGCCCTCCAACAACAACGGAGGGCGGAGGAGCGACGCTCAGAACAACGAGCGGAGCGCCGGATGGCTAAAGCACAGCAGGTTGGCACAGTAGGGGGCACAGGTGGTGCATCAGCCAGTCATCTCAGTCAGTCGACCCGTGGCACCTGGGTCTGCCCCGTGACCTCCTGCCAGCGGGCGTTCGACACTTCACGTGGCCTCAGGGTGCACATAGCCTGGCACAAGCGTCGTGGTGACGTCACCGCCACTTAGTGGCGAATGGCGGTTGTTGTTGTAGAGGGTGTGTGCGTGCGTTCGTGTGTGGGGTGCGAGGGGATAGCAGCGCTGGCAGAGTTGCTCCGTTGCTGTAGCACCACACTCGCTAACAGCACTTTCCCCAACAGTCTGTTACAGGCTACACGTGGGATCTTTGTCTTTGTTTGCTTGGATTCGTCTCATAAGTGATCCCCATTGTGGTCAGAGGCCTGAAATGAATTATAGATCATTGGAATTAGCTGTGGAACGTGCAAAGTCCAATCCCATCGCTCCTTGTACACACACAGTACTAGTGTGTGTGTGCGTGTGTGCGTCGCTCCGCCTCAAATGACTCCCTGGTGCAGCGGTGTGGTGTAGTAGACATCGCCACTGGGGGAGACAAAGGCGGTCGGGCGTGGTGCTGGCCACCCACCCCCTCGTGTTGCCACAGTGCGCTGCTGCTCGCGATTAAGAGCACTTTCCCCAACAGTCTGTTATAGGCTGTACGGGGGATCTTTGTCTTTGTCTCTCCAATAGGTGGTAGTCGATATGTCTACACACCCTACACACTATAGAGTCAGTAGTATCTACTACACACCCTACACACGTGACTCCGTAGTAGCAGTCACGTGGTCACCACCATCGGTTGTTGTTCTGTTAAGGGAAAACTTACCCCGTGTGTTGGAATTGAATAAATGTGTTGCCTCCAAGTCTACGTTTGCGACTCAGTTGAACCCATTACATACACACACAGCCTGTTTATATAGAGACACAAAGACAGAGATAGAGTCTGCTAATTGACTCCAGTCTAAAAGTTCACGCAGGGTTCCTTAGAGCAGCAGTGCCCAATGGACAAACAAACGTCGGTCTGTGATCTACGTGCGCCATATTGGTGCCTCTAATTATCTCGGCACGCCAGAGGAAGCCACGACAGCCCAGACCCCCAGTGATCATATGAACTGTGACCGGATTTTCACAATAAACGACATAAACAACGTGTAACACCAAACCCTAGAGCCATAGCTGGCTGCATGAGTCACTCCACAACAGCAAGAGCATCAGTCGGAGTATCACATTTTTCAATGCACCTTTAAGATCAGCACACTATATCAAAATACAGATAATACTTTGCAACGATCATCTGGAGCGAAACATTTTATTTTATTTTAGGCCATTGAATAGCAGTGGCAGCTAGGGGTATACAACTCCTCTAGAGCAGTTTTGAGTGAAGGTCTCATAGGTAGTGATTCAAGTTGCAGTTTATTGGCAATAGCGTTCCAGACCCTGGGGGCATCAATAGCAAAGGCCCTTCCTCCAGTATTTGTACGGCAATAGGGAATGTGAAGCTGGTAAATGAGCGAAGACCTGAGGACAAATTTGTTCTTTGAAACAGAGAGGAGATCCAGCAGGTAATCTGCAGATTTTTTTGGAAGTAATTCGTGAATAAATAAGATTTGGTGCACAAGCTGTCGAACATTAAGAGATGCTAAGTTTGACCCAATGTAGAGATCACAGTGGTGAGTCCTATATGGGCAGTTCAATGCAAATCTCAAGGCCGAGTGATAAATTGAGTCATGCTTCTTCAGTACAGTGCTTGGAGCTGATTTATACACGATGTCACAGTAATAAAGTCGAGGCAGTATGGTAGCTTTTATCAATTCCAAACGGAACATAGGGGGGAAGCAATGCTGTGTCGATACAAAAAAACAATTTTTAATTTTTCTTTTTAGCAATATAATCAATGTGATCTTCAAAATTCAGTTTTGAATCCAGGATGACCCCAAGATACTTATAGATCTTGACTTGCTCTATTTGATCATTATTTAAGGAATGCAATTGGGGAAAACTAACTTCCCGCTTTAGTCCCGGTGAGAAGCATAGCACCTTGGTTTTGGAGGTATTCAGGACTAGTTTAAGAGCAACTAGCTGATGTTGTAGTTTGTTGAAATCATCCTGGAGCTTAGCAATCACGTCATCCGGAGAGCGGCCAGCAGTAATCAGTATCGTGTCATCTGCAAAAAGATTTACCCTGGAATGATCCAGGTCAGTGCCCAAGTCATTTACATAAAGAGAGAACAAGAGAGGGCTGAGAATGGAACCCTGTGGAACCCCTTTTGTTATCTTAACACTGTTTGACCTCCAACCATCTGTGAATAGAGTTTGGGTGTGAGAAAACAGGTAATCTTTTTACTAGTTTACTGTGTTTTCGGAAAAACCGAGGCAACTTAGTTTACTAAGCAGGGTGTTGTGGTCTACTGTATCAAAAGATTTGGACAAGTCAAGAAAAAGACAGGCGCAGTACTTCTTATTATCAAGGCTACTGTAAATGCGATTCAGAGAGTCTAATGCAGCAGATGTGGTTCTGTATTTTTTTCGGAACCCAGATTGTTTTAGATGTAATAGATTGTTGGCGGACAGGAAACTGCTAAATGTTTGGACAGGGGTGTAGGAATATGCATGAGCAGGGGTGACTCCCAATACATTATCAAAAAGATTACCAGCTTCAGAAAAATCAAGGTTAAAATTGTCAACTATTTTTTGGGGATCTGAAAAATATTCCCCATTTCGCTTAAGCTCAACAGGCAGATCATCTGTTTCGGATGCCTTTTCGATACATTTGATTGTTTTCCAGAAAATCCTGGCATTTCCATGTGATTCCAGGAGAGTGGAGGAAAAGTAGGCATTTTTTTATTTTTTTGACGCATCAATCCCTTAAAATCCTGTATTCTAGACAGTCATTGACCAAATTACTTTTCT